CTCTCCAAACTCAGAGTCAATATGCGTGTCAACATTTTTTGGAGTTTGGAGATTTCTCCAAGAGTCAACCCTTGAGTTTGGAGATTGCTCTAAACTCGGGCCTTGAGTTTGGATAACTATTCTAAGTCACTAATTTGGAGAAATCTTCAAACTCAACTCCTGATTTTGGAGACTTCTCCAAACTCGGGCCTTCGTGGGGGAAATTTGCAAACCTCCTTGAGCTTGGAGAATTATCCAAACTGAACTCTTGAGTTTGGTGAAGTTTTCAATATCTAGTTCTCAAAAGATTCGAAACTGAATTTTTGATTCCGGGATCAGGGACTGTAGCCCACCTTCGCTACTGAAATTGCCTCCTAAACCCATAAACATCCATAACCCCTTAAACCCTCAATCCTTTCCGAATAAAGAGCAAAACATGTCCAAAATTTATCTACAGTAAACTGGCCTTGTATAACCCTAAGCCCGGCCCAAGTAAAGTACATTACGTCTAGGGTTGAGGGAAACCTTCAGAAGTAAGGAAGTTATATGGGTTTGTATTTTTTTAAGGTTCCCGGGCCGGGATGTTTGACTATGGGGTATGCTTCGGAGGTATGCTTCGGGGGTATGCTTCGGGGTATGCTTAAGTAGTAGCATTTCCAGAGGGTATGCTTCGGGGTATGCTTCGCCTAAGTCGAACATCCCAGTCCTACATAAACTGGACACCTTAAAAAAAGACAAGCCCATATAAGTGATTAGGGTTTCGCTTGCTCAACAAAAGTTTCTAAACCCAGAGCCTGAACCCTAAAATGTGTAACCGGCAGCTGTCAGTTACGGCTGATGCGAAGCCAGGACAAATATGATATGATTGGTGATATTTGATCGGCCCCTATGGGAGTGATGTTTTCCTCGTTTTCGAATCATGGAATTTGACTCACGGCAACCGTCCACTTTTTTGAACCAAACACGCTTTCACGCATATGAAAATCGTTTCCCAAATGACCCGCGCAAGTCATCAAACCAAACTCTCCACTTTTCTCCGGTGTAACACACACCGACTTCTAGGCCCGACCGCCTTCGAACCTCGCCTTGACCGCCTTCAGGTCTCCTATGCAGTTCCTCAGTTCTTTCCAGCCATGGCTGAGAAGGCGAAAGACCTGGCGGATGAACTCTCACCCAAGCAGCTGCCCGGCTGAGAGCTGTCCTCGGTCCTCGGTCCTGAGCTTTCTCAGTCACGTCTCAGACACGCCGAGCGGTTGGACTTCCTCGTGCTGGTGGGGGTAGGGCTGGGTGTAGGAATGCAGCTGATACTACTGGCAGAAAAAATGGGATGTGATGTAATATAGAATATTGGCATATTTGAAGACCCTTCTTCAGGCGACAGTTGAGCATTGCCATGAGAGAGCACTATAGTTTCAAGCCGACTTGTCTAATCACTCGTCCAACGTGAACAGTTGGATGGCCGGCTCCTCGTAGAGTCCTCGTAGAGTCCTCGTAGAGTCCTCGTAGAGTCCGTTGAACCACCAGGCATGGATTTCCCAGGAGCGGAACTTCGCACACCCAACTCCTTTGAGCGGAATCAAGCACTCCAGCAAGACGTCTTCTTGTTCCAAGGCCTCCATATCCGTCTCCCTAGCACGCCCCAACAATTCCGACCCAAAAGCACCTTTCCCAAAGCCCATTCAGCTCGGCCAGTTGGCCCTCATCGGCCCAGGTTGACGCATACCCTGCAAGGCCTTCATAGCAGTCGCTGGGCCGATGAGCAGCTCCTGAAAGCCTTGGCCGCTCGGGCACAGCAGCTCTCACACGTGCTCTTTGGATGCTTGGACGAGCGGGTTTTCATAAAAGGATGGCTTTCAAAAATCGAAGACATGGAGGGTGCTCCGACGATGTCGAGGTCCTTAAGGAATGCATGGTGTGTGAAAAGTCAGAAGAGAAGAGAAGAGAATCCAAGCAGGAACATCTTGGAACTCAAGGGAGTTCTCTGAAAAAACGCTGATCAATTAGACGAACACCCATCACAAGTCCACTAAAAAAGACATCACCGGGATGAGACGAACCCCTCACTTCCGCAGAGAAGAATACGTAATTCCAGGATCTGAAGAACACCATAGAAACACTCCGGACACCCAAAAGCGTGTTCAATCAAACCCACCCACCGGGTGCGCGAAGGCTAAGCAAAACCACTCCGAGGAACGCACGCAGTGTCGGTGATTTTGGCCTTGGCCGACGCGCAGCACTTGGACGAGCGACTTCTCAGGACCGGGTGGGGGCACGAATACCGCTGGAAAAAGAGGATCAGATCAGCCAGGAGGCTTTTGTTCAGATCATGTTAGATCTTAATTAGATTTAATTAGCATCAACACCCCCCCTCTGGATCTGAATTTGGATGTGACGTTACATCAATCTTGGGAAGTGATGACACCTGGCATCCCCTTCTTCCGGAGCTGTGACACGTTTCACCTTTGCTTCGGAAGACACTGTTGGTTCTGTGGCAGGAGTTTGTCCGAGACCGTCTTGCGAAGTTTGGACCGCCTGGCAGCACAGGAGACGGATGGAAGAGATTTTGGCTTTGCCATTGGGCCGTACTGGTCAAGGGAGAATGACATCAGCATCAGAAACACGATTTCTAGATTCAGTTGGAAAGTACAAGTTTGATTCATGTATTTCCATGTCAAGGCGATGGATGGAGCATGAGAAGTTCGAGCAGATCGATTCTGTGAGTCGGTCCGACCGCGGGTTTCTTCGTTTCTTCCGCGTCATGATTCGACTTTGGCCGTGGTGACTTCCCCATTTCTGGTGCTACAATTCACACCTTCCTGGCCGTTGGGAGCTGAGATGGTATGGCCGTTTGAAACAATCAGACAAAAAGCACGTACTGAGGGACTGAGAATGCATTCGAGGTCACAACATGTGACATTTGCGTCACCAAAGCGATATTTGTTGGATACTTTAGAAACGTCTTTTGATTGGTAAGCAAGTTATTGGTTGATTGATTGATTGATTGATTGATTGGTCTACCATGGTCTACCCATTGATTTCTGTGGTGTGTGAACGGTGTGTATGTGGTGTTTCTTACACTTCGGAATCGAGCTTTCTTCGTGGCACAACCAAGGCCTTGGTGGGTAGCTTTGAGAGATGCGTCCGAGCACCGTGCAGAATACGATATAGATAGAACATGAAACGACACACACACACAATGGGAAACGGGTCGCGTGAATTGTAGGTTATTTTTTTGATATTCAATCTACTCTAGATGTGGAGATGATCACTCGTGACAAAAAACATGACAAACACATGCTGCAGCTCCCCGAACATTAGAGAAGGTGTGTGCCCAGTCAGCTTGACCTAGGTAGGCCAACTGTCTCACTGTTTGCAGGACTACATCGCCCTCCTCTCCAGCATCTCTCAGTTGAGGTGAGAGCCCGGTGGTTGGACATTCCATCATATTCCATCCCTGCATATGTTTGGTGAATCAGTGTATGAAGGTGACGAGTCAAATGTCCTGTCCTGCCGATTTTGTTGTGTTTACCAATGGCTGCCTGCAACATCATGTTGTGACTTAGTGGATGTGGAATGCTGAAGAAAGAGTCGGGAAAGCCAATAGGAGCACGCTCCATCGGTTGCAGCTGGGTGGTTTGGTTTCTGTCTTTATGCAAGAATGGTCAACAATTATATTATACATAATTGAGCAATATGGCAGGGCTGCCAAATACTTCTGTTTCAACGGTGGGCTGGATTTGCTGGGTCTAGCCACCTGAGCAGCTAGGAGCCCTAATATCATGACATATTCTATGTCAATTTCTGCCTGGCCCGATTGCTTGAACCACTGTGGAGCATTTCTCCAGATCGGCCGGGGAGCGTCTTCCACATGTACACTCCCACCGTCAACGCATGTGGTCAACGGTGACCACCGTCTTCTCTCCTTCAACGCTTGCGGTGCACGCTGCAGTGCACCGGTCTGATCGAAATCGTAAGGTGGAAGCCACTCGTTTCGGACGGGAGAGCCGGCGTTTGGCCGATGGGTTCGGGATCCGGGCAAATCTACGGTGCATTGGTGCATATGAAAAGAAACAGCAGATACAGATACCCTGCAAGTCCAAAGACCCAGTAAAACCTGGTCTTTTACTCAGTAAGTATTGATTTTGTATGACCATCTCCAGTAAAATGAGGTCTTTGACTTGTAGGGATATACTGTATTGGGCCAGCAGGTCTCCCAAAAACCCTAGGCCGGTGATTTTCCAACCACTCGTCACCACACATTCAGCACGGTCTCGTCGTGCTGCGTTGACGACACCAGTCTGGAGCTGCGAAACGCCTTGCCGGTGAGCTTCTTGGAGGAGGTCCTCCAGGCTGGTGACCTGACCCCGAAGGCTGCGGTCGACAGCTGGATTGGAAAAGAACCAGTCATGCAATGACGAGGTCTTCACAATCCAATGGGAAATGGGAATCATGAAACACATGATTTCTGTATGTACTATATGTACATGACTTCTCCAAATCTGAATGCGAACTGGTGACCACCAGTGACTGACAGAAGGGACGCCGCCACTGATTTGTCCAACAAGCTGCTCTGGGCTATACCATCTAGATCAGGTGATGTCCAACACGAACAAGTAAACGTGACTTGCACATACAGAATCTCCACTGCAGAGGCTCGTGTTCATCGTTTTTGTTTATTTTTTTCTGCCAGACTTTTTGCTGCAAAATCGCAGGCGGCTGCGCAACTCCACGTTGCAGGGAAGATGTATTTCTTTACATAACGGGCCCTGGTTCTTGAAAGTGACCGAACTTCCTAATGTGATTGATTAGACTTCCATATAATCCAAATGGGGGTAGTTTGTATATATGAATTGTGAGTCTATATGCTAATTTGTGAGTCTATACGCTAGTTTTGGTTATGGCTTGGTGATCTTCCGTAAGTAGGTCACTTGGAAGTTGGAAACTGTTTGGATCCTCTGAGGGTTTAGAGCGTAGTCATTCGAAAACGAGGCTAAAACCAGGCTCCATTGTTTGATCCGCATAGTTTTGGCTCAAACATTGTGAGCTCCGTCCTTGGCACGAAGGAACCACTTCGTCCTTGGCGCCATGTGCAGCGCCATGTGGTTGACGTTCACTTCCTTGATCAGCCTTTCCGGTGCGGAGACGTTTCAATGTTCCGAGCCCGGCCACACCGTGGAGCCGTCGCGTTCCGGAGCCTGCGGATCGGAAGACATCCAGGCGCCGTGGAATCCACGTGTTCCGTCGCGTGCAACCCGTGGTTGGCCAGTCAAGGCGTAGGGCCTTTCCGGAGGCGTTTCCGGGCCGACTCTTTTGGTTTTTCGTGCCGTTTTGGGGGGGTGCGATTCAAGGAGAACAAGACTCTCCACCCCAGAAATCCCATACGCCCAGATACAAACCACTTGTAACGGCGCTTTTCTACCCTCCCTTTTTGGACTTGGACGTCCGATGTTCGTGGTAGGTGTTCGCTCACCCCGCGTCCGCATGACCGCGTGTGTTCGTGACCGCGTCCTCGGGATTGGTACCCGGTGAAGACGGAGACCATTTGTGTAGGCGCCGGCCCAAGTACCGAACCTGAGGTTCGGTATGTGGATCCCTAGGGTCTGTCATATATGCCGCCCCTTTTTTTTTCCCCCGCAAAAAACCACCACCCCTGGGACTGATCGGTAAATATACCAGTCCCATGGGAGGGTTTGGGTATGTTATATTCTATGATATGTTTGTTCCTATAATTATATTTGCATTGACCCGCTTTCTTTTTTCAGCCAACGACCACCCCTGGCCGTTCATGCCACATGTGCCAGTCCCAGTCACCGTGAAAGACCGACCTGCCTTCCGCCTTCAAAAATGCAGAAAGTTCGGATGGCTCTCATGTACATGCATCAAACTATAGGACATACTGTAGCTCCTTTTGCCTTTGATGGGAGTATTGTTCTTTGAAATTCCAAACTAGGGACCACTGAGGTTCTGTTTGGACACATCGGCTGAGCTGTGGAATGACCCGGAAAGGAAAGGCTGTCCTATGGTTCACACCGAGTAGTACGAAATCCCGAAATCCAGCTGTTGAGAGAATACAGGACAAAGAACATTAAAAACAAAAAAACATGTTCCAATTGTCCAGCATTTGAAGATGCTTAGTGATAATCATTTGCAGTAACATCATGCAGATCGCCATCATTTTGGTGTAGTCTATCATGGCAACCTTGTGTTCTGATACTCAGTGCTGTGAGAGGGACTCACTAGCGAGAACTTTGCAATGGCAAATGTTGCAGATGCTTGTGAAAAAGCGAGACGATCCCTTTCAGGCCTTGCTCCAGCACCAGACATACGCCAATGTCGACCGTACTATGACTTCAGATCTTGAATGGCAAGCACTCGTCTCCAGGGCAGACTGTGTTCCTGCAATACCTTGGCCATGTGGAAACGAAGAGATTTCCCGCTTCCCCTTGCAGCAAATCAACACCGGAAACAACTGTGCCAATGGGATGGCGACCATTTCATCCTTGGACCTGAACACCTCTCAGTACACCGAGTCTGGGACGAACGGCGCCAGTCCGCCAGTCCAACCGGATTTTTCTAGGAGAACCAGACCTGAAACCGTTTCAAACCCAAACCTGAAATCAGTTCCAGAAGGTTCTTAGGAGCTTCTCAAGCAGTTCTGGAGCTGTGGACGGTGTGTTTGTGTGTGTGTGAGTGTTACACCGTGTTTCTAAGACTTCCTAAGGGTCTTACTGCACTTTGGTTTTGCACTTTGCTCTTGCGAGTTTTCATTCTAAGCAAGTGTGTGTGTGTGTGTGTCACACCCTGTCTCTAAGAGTTTTACAACGGTTGTCCAACTCTTCAAGTCAGCAGGGGGCCAGCGGCCGACAAGCAAACGCTGGCTAACAAAGCTATGCTTGCTCGGTGGATGCGGTCAGAGACGTCTGACAGTGTACCTGCAAAGAAACTGTTGCTCACGCTGTCCAATCTTCCTTTTTTGCTTCCATGGTTGTTCACGATACCTCCCCTAAACCATTTTCTCTCAGCCACTTTCAGCAGTCACGCGTTTTGCCGCGTGTCACCGCAGTTGAGAGCGAAACATTTGTTCAAGCATCTTCAACTTCTCGGACTTTTCACCTTTCGGTTCCACCACCTTCCTTTGACCTGGCAATTGAGTTAACTGAAAACCAATGTCGAAGTGTGAGCCGCTCAGTCTTCCCACTTGGGTGCTGGGTGTGACCCTCCGAAAGGAGGCGCTGTTATCATTCCGGAAAGCATCGGCTTTCTTTCTTATTACTGATTCTTTGTTTCTCACTTCCATAACTGAATTAACGGAGTTTTGAGCCGCCGGGCTATAAACGACGGATTCAATCAATCTCTCTGCACGGTCATGCCTCATGTGTCGTTACTGCATGTTCCCATTTTTTTTATCCGCAGCCATTTGTCCAGCTTTCACACGTATCTCGAGGCTTTACACGGCATCTCATGTCATACGTTTACCTCACCTTTCCATCACAGACGATCCACTTGATCTCAGGAGTTCATTCAGTTGTCCATTTTGCAATTGGTCCAGCTCTACGCCCAAAAAGGGCATGACCTGCAAGCGTGCAGGCGGTTTTTGAAAAAAAGGTCCGTTTTTCCACTGCTCTGTACCCGCGCCGAATTCGGCTTGTTGTGTGTGTCACACCCTGTCTCTAAGGGCTTTACAACGGTTGTCCAACTCTTCAAGTCAGCAGGGGGCCAGCGGCTGACAAGCAAACGCTGGCTAACAAAGCTATGCTTGCTCGGTGGATGCGGTCAGAGACGTCTGACCGTGTACCTGCAAAGAAACTGTTGTTCACGCTGTCCATTCCTTTTTTGCTTCCATGGTTGTTCACGATACCTCCCCTAAACCATTTTCTCTCAGCCACTTTCAGCAGTCACGCGTTTTGCCGCCTGTCACCGCAGTTGAGAGCGAAACATTGTTCAAACATCTTCAACTTCTCGGACTTTTCACCTTTCGGTTCCACCACCTTCCTTTGACCTGGCAATTGAGTTAACTGAAAGCCAATGTCGAAGTGTGCGCGCAGTTTCTGTCCGTTGCCCAATTGAACCTGTCTGACAGACCCGTCTTTTGTTCGCAGTGTTCGCTGTGCAACGACCACTTGACCTCGGCACGAGAAGGATCGTTTGGGAGCGCAAGATGATGTCTAAAAAGGTGGTCTTGAGGTGACCTTAAGCAGGAACCGCACGTTTATTTGAGTGGAGCCTGGAGCCGCCAAAACATGGTTTTTTGTTGGACATCTAAGGCATACATTGGATCCAGACATTCTGTTGAGAAGTCCAGAGTCATTGGATCCAGACTGATCCGTTGAATTCCATCCGAGTGCCCATGGATGGATCCAAAGCACATAAAAGTGGAACTTCCCACCAAACCTTGGATGGCTGGGAACACGACCAGGGTATCCCTGGTGCCAGGATTAGTAGCATTAGCACCAGCGGATGTCTTAAACGACATTTGAGGCGTTAGGCGTTTCACGTCTTTCAAGAATAACCTGGACACCTCAGACGATGCCTATGTTGACCCCTCAAACCACTCCTACGTTGATAGCCAACCTTCCAGCCCCATAGATTGTTTAGGTAATGATTCGACTGATTGATGCCTCGGCGTGCTCAATGTTTGAAGTCACGACTATGTTATATCAATCCGGGCGACGGACCAAGGATCTGTGTTACATCCCAGGCGTTTGCCTCAATGCTTGTGGCATTAATCCCATCGACAGCGCCATCTATTGCCATACTCGAGGCAACTCCTTTGAGGAGCAGTTCGTGCGAGTGGACTGTCCAGTGAGTAACTCCTTGGCAAGCAGCAAGCACACGATTGCCGTAGGGCAGTCTTTTTCTTTGAAAGAACCCCCTTGGCGATTGGCGTTTGCCGCAAGTGGACCAACGGTACTACCCAGGTACTCCATGAGACTTGAGAATAATATATATATATATATACATGTGTATAGATTATATGTGTTGTACTATGTTATGATACATTTGTATATGTTATATTGTATGTGTTGCTAATAATATAGATAACAATAACAATAAACATGTGTTATATATATATATGCCTACATTGATGGCTCAAAGCACCCAAAGGTAGGCAAATATTCCAGTCCCATGGAGTGTCTGGGGCATGTTGGAGGACAAGACGACACAAGGACGACATGTCAGACGACCACCGCAAGTGTCTTTCGGTTCCAACGCCTTTGCTTCAAAAACGTTGGGGTGCAACTTGGTGTGGTGCAACTGCAACTCATCCAGATGAGCGTTTTCACCATGCCACGCTTGGGGAAAAAGAAACAACATGCAAAGTACACGTGGCTGAGGCGATTTGCAGTCTCCCGTGCAGGGATCACTTTGCTATTTTGGCCCAGGTGGTGATTCCTTTGCGGGTGCCTTTGAGCCCTGGTGGAATGCAGATTGGTGGCTTATGATGTTCTGGAAAATTGATACATACAAAATAGATATAATTTGATATAACGTAATATATTTGAATCATGTTAAAGTAATTATACAGTATATCATATTGTATTGTCACAATTGCATGCTACTGAACCAAAACATCAACCTCTATCCTTTTTTGTTGAGCTGGCCACATGGAACATCTAGGTTCCTTTGAACGTTCATCACGCATTGTGGCATATTATCGAGCGCTCGACAGGCGGTGGCACGGTGTATCATAAGATCTTAAAACTTATATGTAAGGAGTCTCATGGATTCGACAAGGGGGGGTTATATAAGTCTATTCAAGAGTCAACATTAAGAGTCTGCAATCGAAAGCTCTTGTGTGTTCGTCATCTCGAAGGATCCCAAAACTGGCAACTACATCTTCCGGCAGAACAGGAATCTCCGGTCCATCGATTCGGCAGCGATTGCTGGTTTTCTCGGGTCAACGACGCCGTCCAGCAACAGCCAAGTTCGTGTCTTGGGTGTCGAACTAAGCAGCAGAACCTTTTCGGGTATATAAGCTGCATGCCTCTAAGCAGCTTTTCGGGTATATATGGAGGGGTTCGGGTATTTTCGGGTGAAATCTGCGAATTAGGCAGATGATTGTTGATAATTATTGTTGCCTTCAGGGAAAAGGTCACAGACTGCGCACCTGCGCAGGGTTGGAGAAAGTGGCACCGCTGCCGGTTCTGGGATTTGTACCCTTGCTCGGTGTCCACTGCCTGGATGTGGTTTTTCATAAGGCTGTGCTGTGCTTCGAAAAAAGGATCCAAACCAAGCGAGATGCTTGGTGCTGTCCATGGCCACTGCGAACTGCTTCGGCCACGGGCACTGCGAACGCGAAGGCGAAGCCGTCCGGTCACGGACTGTTCGACGTCGCCGTTCCGGTCCTGGGCGACGGGTCAAGGTAGCAGCATCACGGGTGTGGCGAGCAACTTCCGTGGTAACGTGGCAGATTTCATCATCCGGACAACGGACATTGGAGACTTACCTGAATTAGCGCGTTCAAGGTTTTGGAAGGAAGGAAGAAAAGGAGGTGTCACACACAGTGTTTGAGGTGTTCTTTGTTTTGCTTCGCATCTCGATTCCAGGAACCCTTTGATCGATGTGTTTGCGTCCATGAAAAAAGGTGGCCTCCAGTAGCTAAAGGCAGATGCATGAATGTGGTAACAGTTCCTCTCTTTGCAGACGGAACTATATATAAGTTATAATCCAAACTCCAAACTCTGACGCTTGTTGGGCCAAGATCACGTGCTGAGGAGATGGAAATCAGACCTACTTGATTGGATGCCATCAGAATATGGTCTACTTCCACTCCTTAGACAATCCGACGAACCCAACGCAACACAGCCAAGTCAGATCATTGCAACTTTTGATTGAATAAACATGCATAGCACCTGGGGCAAAAATTTCCGCCTCAGTCCGATTTGCCTGGGAGGATTCACGGATTTTAGGGGAACTCCGCGCCAGGTAGGAGTTTCCGCGGCCAGCAGTGAATGTTTGCCGCAAGCAAATTTTTACATAGCCTTCAAAAAGCATCACCACTGCCTAACACCGACCAGGTTGTCTCTTCCATGATTGCATACCACATATTGTTCTGCAAGGACATAGTTTCACATAGTTTCACATCTCAAGATCTCACACCCTACGATTTTGACACTTCTTCATTCATGACATTCACAAAGAGGCTGCAACATTTGTTCAAGCCCTTCAAAGGCACTGTTTTTGAATCGGCATTCCTCTGCCAGGAATCTTCCGCCGTTTTGCCGGGTATTTCCGCCTTTTTCCCGGGTATTTCCGCGCCAGGTGTTTTCAACTTTGGACTGGTTTTACTCGTATGTGCTCATACCGCACAAGAAACCTTCAAAACAAAGACACATGTATATGATATGATGCTAGCCAAATTTCCAGGTGGAGGTGGAAACTTAAGTGTCGGCATTCTTTGTTTTCTTAATGGAGGGACCGTTCCAGTGAGAAATGCCCAACGTAAACCACAGAACATATTCAACTCCTATATAGTCTTTGTCTGAGTAGATTCTTGAAAGGAAAAATTTGCGGCAACAAACATTTTCCGCGGCAAAAAGTTAATCTCCGCCAGGACGGGAACCCAAAAAGGGCAAGAATTTCTGCCGAAAGGATCTTCTAGCCACCTGAATCGACCTGGTGCACGGTAAAAGGCAAACTTCTTTGGAAAAGTGCCTCATACGAAGATCTAGGCATATCGCTGGATTGGACATGCATCTTTCTGCCTTTGAAGGACATATACGTCGCATGTATGAAGGCAAATCAGAAAAACCAAACTTCTTTGGCGTTCATGTAACAGGTGTCCAGCCTCGGCTCTCCCAAACGCGAAAGATCTCGACAGCTTTGGCCTCCAGCCGCCCAGCCATGTCCTGGACCCCGAGACCGCTGCCAGTGCTTTTTTTTTGTCTCAAGAAGCCCCCAAAAGTGGTGCTTGCGGGTTAGGCCGCCAACGAGGTCTACCACTAAATTGGTCGACCACCCCAGTCCGCCCACTGGCTTCATCGCGCATCTTACTTCGGTGGTTTCGGACAAAGACACCGACTGACTACTTCGGACGGGCGAACTTGACGAGGCAAAGCTTTCAAATGTCTGGGGTGAACCCCGGTGGTTCCTCCGGTGCTCAGTGGTCCTTCCAGGGCGAGATCTTTTGCGCCTACAACAACGGCGGCGATGGCGACTGGGTGTGCGAGGTGGTCGAACACTGGGCGAGGGGACCGAGGAGGTCGAAGACTCCAAGAGAGGTGAAGTGACCGTAAATAGGACCCGTAACCTGGGGTACCGGGATAGTCTAGTTCGGGTTCTTCAACCACTGCTGGCTGGTAACACTGTGGTCACTGGGGTCTGGATGGGATTTTCTGGGGGCTGAAGGTAGTGCATGGAGAGAGGGTGGGACCACTGGTTGGCTGCAGAAGTTCGGGGGAGACTGCCCCCACATGCGATGTTCGCAGTTGCTTGTGTACATTTGTGTACACTCGCATTCAATTCTCCCCAGCTGGTTTAACACACACACACACATAATATATATCTTCTTGAGCTCTAAGTGTAGTCTCTATGGAGGTTGAGGTTGTTGAGAAAAGATCCACCGAGGTGTCATTCAAGTCAATGTCACCGACGTCAACCAACCGCAGGCCGGCCGGGTCCCTGCGGGCAGCGTCAGCGGATCTGCAAGTACCAACTCAAATGATGGTCTGAACTGCCTCAATGCGACAAACCCATTTCCACCAGCGGTCACGACGACCAGCACCACAACCACTACCACAACAACGACTACCACAACCACCACGACCACGACGACCACGACAACGACAGCAACGACAACAACCACGACGACTACAACAACAACCACGACAACCACCACAACTACGACAACAACCACAACGACCCCCACCACAACCACAACCACCACGACCACGACAACCACCACAACTACGACAACAACCACAACGACCACCACCACAACCACAACCACCACGACCACGACAACCACCACGACTACGACAACAAC